TAACCATATACAACATTGTTGCAGGACAGCCCCACAACACCCCTTTTCCTGTCTCCTGCCTTCACTCATCACCCCCTTCCTTTTTAAACAAACATCTACTCAAGAGACAGCACGGCAGCAACTGATGTGTCATGACAATTCTGGGGTTTTTTTCTGTTTTATTTTTTTGAGACAGGCTCTCACTATATAACCCAGGCTGGATTGAAGGTGTGGTCTCCTGCCTCAGCCTCCCACGGCCTAGGACCACAGATGCTCCTTAATTAAAATGAAGCCTGTCCATTAAAGTGGGCACCTGGATGGGCAGAGCGCTGTACCTGGGAGGGCAGCTCGGGGCCACGATGAGCTCTTGGTGAAGGAAAGGACAGGGCCACCCTACCCAGCACCCAGGGGAAGAAAAAACTTAGGCTTCCAGGAGATGCTGAGCCCATCTTTTTTTTTTTTTTTTTTTTTTTAAGATAGGATCTCATTATGTAGTTTAGGCTGGCTTGAACTCAGGGCAATCCTCCTGCCTCGGCCTCCCAGGTGCTGGGATTACAGGCATGCGCCACCACACCCAGTTTTACCTTTCCATTTCAAGTCAGGGTCTTACCAAGTCACCTAGGCTGGACTTCCACTTGCCACCCTCCTGCCTCAGCCTCGCCAAGAGCATGGGGTGACAGGTGCGCAACACCACACCTGGCAAATGCTTTCTTCCCCAGCACCCCACCTCCATCAGTGCTGGGAGTCAAACCTGGGACCTCCAGGACCAAGTGTTCTACCACTGAGCTCCACGCCCAGCTCTCAACACCCAGGTTTGCAAAGCTGGCACGGAGCCCACCTTAGGGGCTGCGGGTTTTCAAACTGCAGCACCCACCTGGGGGCAGGCACAGGGCTGTGCCAAATGTGGGTGTTGCCCCAGGGTGGGTTGTGCAATCTTGGCTCCCTCGTGTCCCCAGCTTTCTCTCAGTGGAGTAACCATCCGGTCCCCTCCACCCACCAGTGGTCTCTGTCACCCTGCGGCATCAGCCCTAGTGCCCCACCCCCACCCACCTGAAAATGAGACCTGGCCCTGCGGGGACCTGGGCCCAGTGAGGAGACTGCGGTGGCTCTGGTCTCGCTGCCCCTTCAGCCTGCTGGCTGCGAGCCGTGTCCTTTGGAAGCCGGGACGTGCCTGGGCAGCCTCACCCCGGCACCTGCAAAGGCCCTGAAAAGTCCTTGGCCCAGATAATCTGCCCGGGCTCCTCTGTCCTCAACAGATGACACGGAGACTCGGTGGCAATGCCATCCACCTCCATGGCCCAGCCCGACAGCTCACCCCGTTATGACGTGCATCGGACCATAAAGGGCTCCGCCGAGGTCGGCCAGGAGGACTCGGCCAGGCCTGTCCAGGTGCAGCTGTTTTCTGCCAGGCTGGCTTTTCCCTCAGTGCTGACCATCAAAGCCAGGCCTTGCACGTGCCAGACAAACCCTCTGCCACGGAGCTACAGACCCAGCCCTTTTTGTCGTAAGTTTAAGTCTCTAAATTGCTTAGTCTGGCCTTGACCTCGAGATCGCCTTGGCCTCAGTGGCTGGAATGACAGCTGTCTTCCACCATACCTGGTACCTGGCTGCCGGGCTGGGCTTAAATGTGCTTCCTGAAGTTAAATCATGAGGAGGGGCGGACTTCTCATTCCCTGCAGAGTTGGTCTGTCGCATGTTGTCAGGTCCTTGGGGACCCCCCACCCTCCGGAGCCCTGAAAGTCTGGGAAGGAGGCATCTGTCCCTGTCCCAAAGTCACCCCTCTCCTTCGCTCCTGTACCCTTTCCTCTGGCAGGGGTATTACACCTGGGTACTTCCTGCTTTCTTTTGTCATTAAGTAAATTTGCTGTGCTCCCCGTCTTCCTTCTCCGGTGATGCCATGGAGGTTCCCAGGGTCCTGGGGGGGGGCCGGGTTGACCACAGCTAGAGGTGTCAGCAGTGGAGCCAGGCCTGCCCTCCAAGTGCCAGGTGAGAGGACTGCGGCTCCTTCCTCCTCCTCACCTGGTGACGTGCCCGGGATGTCCACTTGCACGGGATGCCACACAGTAAGCAAAGCTGAGCAAAGCCCAAGCGGCCCATCCCGCCGGCCTTGCCCTCATCACTGAGGTCGGATGCTGCTGCCTTGGCTGACCAATCCTTGTTCCACTTCAGTATCAAGGACTAAACCTGGATTCCCCACCTGGGCCACAGTAAGTGGTGACCAGGCCCGTGGACGTGGCTTTGCTGTGCCATCTCAGACCACACAGTGGCGACTATGTGGACCTTTACCATTTCCTGCTTGGTGATTCCAAGCTGCGGCCGTTAGGAATACAGCAAGGACAAAAGAGTCCTGCCCTGGGCCAGGCTGGGATCAGGGACGCAGTGCGCAGGCTCCATCTGAAGGAAGATGGGTCAGGTGAGGGAACCGCAGGGAACAGATAGGAAAGCTGGCTTCACCTCCTTCCCCAGGGAAAATCAGTCTCCTGTGCTTAAATGCAAATGAGGCAGGAGGCAGCGTGGAGAAATCCCTGCAGCGGGACAAGGGAAAAGGAGGCGGCTCTGGGGGCCAAAATAGGCTCTAGAAACCCTAAGAGCGCCAGCTGCTAATCTTGCCCACTTCAAAGCCCTCAGGAAACATGGGTGGGGAGATAGCTCAGTGGAAAAGGCACTTCCCTGACAAGCACAAGGGCCTGAGTTCAATCCCCAGTTCTGAAAAAAAAAAAAAAAAAAAAAAAGGGAACATTGTTGTTTTTTTGTTTTTTGTTTTTTCTTTTGTGGTCCTGGGGCCAGGAGCCAGAGTCATACACTGGCTGGGCAAGTGCCCTGCCACTGATGTGTCCCAGCCTTGCATTTGCTTGAGACAGCAAAGTTGTCTGGACTGGGCTCACACTTGCAATCTACTAGGTCCCATTTGTTTGCTTTGTTTCTTTGCCTGAGACAGGCTCTTGCTATGTAGCTCAGGCTGACCTCAAACTCTCGGAGATCCACCACGCCCTGATCAGGCTTTATTTTACAAGCTTTTGCTTGGTGGATTTGTTACTGGCTTCAAAGAACCTTGAGGAACTTGGAGTAACCAAAAAGACTTTCCCAGAGTCCAGTGCCTCCACCCATCCTTCAAGATGCTCTTCTGCCTATTAAATACTTGATTTACAGTGGATTTTTAAAAAGAAAAAATAGGGATTTAAAATCTTAGCCAGGCACGCCCTCAGGCACCAGGAATCCCAGTGACTCAGCAGGCTGAGGCAGGAGGATCCCTTAAGCCCAGGAGTTCTGAGCCTGGGCAACAGTGCAATCCTGTCCAGAAACACAAATCAAACAAATAAACAAACAAAAAATACCCCTTTCAAAATCTTACAGGAAAAATGTTTCAGTACCTTTTTTACCCTACCTTCTCTGCTTGTATATCACATTTACCAGCAGAAAAACACAAACACCAGAATGCACTGTGTGGAGCTGGGAAGGTAGCTCAGTAGAAAACGTACTGCCTGGCAATTGCAAGGGCCTGAGTTCAATCTCTGGTTCTACCAAAAAAACAGCAAAAAATGCACTGTGTGTGTGTGTGTGTGTGTGTGTGTGTGCGCGCGTGCGCGTGCGCGCGCCACCAGGGATCCAACCCAAGGCCTTGCACATGCTAAACACACAGTCTAGGGGCCAGGGAGATGGCTCAGTAGAATAAGCACTTCCCTGGCAAGTGCAAGGGCCTGTGTTCAATCCCTGGTTCCGCCAAAAAAAACTAAACACACACTCTACCACTAAGCTGCACCCACAACTGAAAGTGAACTTTGTTTTGTTTGTTTTTTGAGACAGGGTCTCACTGTGTGGCCCAGGCTGGCCTTGAACTCTCTGTGTAGCCCCGGTTGGCCTCAGGTTCATGGCGATCCTCCTGCCTCAGCCTCCCCAGTGCTGGGATTTTAGGTGTGCATAATCACTCCCAACATTGCTTCTTACCCTTCAGTATACCTCTGCAGCAACCCTGCAGCTGCCTTTGGTCTGCAAGCTGTGACTTCTGTAACTCGGTCCTAAGCACAAGTCCAAGATGTCCCTGTGCTTTGCTTTGAGCCCGCTGCCAGTCCTGCGGTACTGTCCCTGCCTGCACAGCGGGAGGACTCAGCAGATGTGACTGTCGCCAGCAGCTGCCTGGGTTAAAGGCTCTGAAGAACAGCACGACTTGCTCAGCCATGCTGAAAGGTGACCCTGCATGTGACCGGTCACACCAAGACCCCGAGCACAGATAATCCAGAGCCCGTGCTGAGCTTACCAGCCAGGGGGATGGACCGAGGCCACCGTGTCCTGCAAGGAGAGTGCTGTGACTCAGCCACCTATCTGGTGCCTGTGACCTTGACAGGATTTCTGTACCCCACTCCCTGGGGTATAAAAGTGGGGACCTGGGGTTGGGGACCAGGCGGTGGTGTTGGTGAGCCCAGGCTCTGTGCATGCATCGGCAGCAGGCTCTTCTCTAAGGTAAAGATGCTGCCTCTGCGTGTGGGGTGGGGCTGCCTAGATTTCTGGGGGCTGGGGGCCAGCCTTCTTCCAACCATCCACTAGGAGAATGTTCTTTATAGGTATTCTTTGGGGGGAGGGGGGGCATTTTCAGCCTTCATTTTGAGACCGGCTCCTCTGGAATCTTGCTGCGTTCCCCAGGCTGGGCTGGAATGTTGATCCTCCTGCCTCAGCCTCCCGAGGGAGTGGGCTTACAGGTGTGCACCAGCAACGCAGGACAAGGTTTTAATTTTAAAGGTTTTTTTTTTTTTTTTTTTTTTGCAGAACGGGGGATTGAACTCAGGCCCTTGTGCTTGCCAGGGAAGCACTTATTCCACTGAGCCATCTCCCCAGCCCCTAAGGTTTTAATTTTGATGAAGCACAATTTATTATTTTTTAATGGATCCTGCTTCTCGCTGTCACATCTGAGAACTCTTTTTTTTTTTTTTTTTTTTTTTTTTTTTCCGGAACGGGGGATTGAACTCAGGCCCTTGTGCTTGCCAGGGAAGCACTTATTCCACTGAGCCATCTCCCGGCCCCCTCCGGCTTTCTCTTAAACATTTTGCATTTAGATCCCTGGTCCCCAGGGAGGTTGATTTTTGTTTAAATTGGGTTTGGGCTGAGGTGCATCGCTCTTCATTAATGCCCTGCGGCCCAAAGAGCAGATGGAACCACCAGGCCTTTTTCAGTTGGCAGCAAGACCCCCCAACAGCCTTCATTTTCAAGAATGTCTTAGTCACTCATCCGAGTCTTTGCTTCTTCCATAGAAATTTTAGAATCAGAAAATCAGAAAATTTACATGTACCTTTTTATGTTTATATTTAAAAAATCCAGCATGGATTTTTTTGTTTTGTATGTATTTGTTTGTTTACTTATTTATTGGCAGAACTGGGGATTAAACTCAGGGCCTTGTGCTTGCCAGGCAAACTTATTCTATTGAGCCATCTCGCCGCCCCCCTGGCTTGTTTTCTGAGACAGGGTCTCACTATGCAGTTCAGGCTGGCCTGGAGCTCACTTTGTAGCCCAGGCTGGTCTCCAACTCACAACGATCCTCCTGCCTCAGCCTCCTGACTGCTAGCGTTACGGGCCTGAGCCGCTGTGGCCAGCTCCAGCTCAGAGTTGTTTTTTATTTTTCCAGAACCCGTAATTGAACTCAGGCCCCCAAGCGCTTATTCTACTGAGCAATCTCCCCGGCCCTCCAACTCAGATTTGGATTAGAATTACAATGAATAAAGCAGTCGTTCACTTGGGGAGAGCTGCTGTCTTTGCTATGTTTTCTCCCAGTTCACTGACGTGATCTCTCTCCATTCAGTGAGGTTTTCTTGTGTTTCATTTACCAGCATTTCCCAGTTTTAAACAAGCACCTTGGCACCTGCTCTGTTCGTTTACAGCCTGGTGTTTTAATGGGGGTGGGGTGGGGGTACTACAATCAGCTCTGTTAGTTATTGAGACAGGGTCTCACTGTGCCGTTCAGGCTGGCCTCGAACTCACTATGTAGCCCAGGAGGGCCTGGAACCTGCAGCAATCCTCTTGCCTCAGCCTCCTGAGAAAAAAATGGAATTACATTCCAAAGAAATGGAATTACAGGCATGAGCCACCACACCCAGCTTTAACTGGAGTTTTCAAGCTTTTCTTTCTTTCTTTCTTTCTTTCTTTCTTTCTTTCTTTCTTTCTTTCTTTCTTTCTTTCTTTCTGCGGAACCAGGGATTGAACTCAGGGTCTTGTGTTTGCCAGGCAAGTGTTTATTCTACTGAGCCATCTGCCCGGCCCCTGGGCTACTATTTCTTCAAACGTGTTTTCCTGCGCCGCGTCCTTGCTCCACTCCAGATCTCTGGACTCGCCTTATTGTATCCTTTGATCAGAAACCCGCGATGGAGGGACTCGGCTGCAGCCGGGAGGGCGGG